TAACACACAGGCGCAGCACAGATAGCAAGATACGCAATGAAGGCAAGACAGTTAGGCAAGACATGTTAGACAGGGGGGTTAAGGAGTTAAGACGGGGTTGTCTGACTGGGGCCTGTGGGGAAGTGTGAGGAGAACAGTGGAGTGGTTAAAGAAAAATCACACCCAGTACTGTAAATGTGGCAGAAAATGTTTCAACAATAAAGGCCATTTTCTGTGTTATTTCCTCAGAATCAAAGCTCAGAGGCTTATTTATAAAGATGTCATTTTCAGCGATCATAGAGGGAGACGTAGTCAAATCAGCATGAAATAGACCAGATTGAAAAGCAGCCGCAAGCTATGTTGGACTTCAGGAAATCTTAGTTTCTTAACTAGTAAAACTCTCTTTCTACTGTAGCATTATCTATTGTACATTACATTCCTTCAATGAGTAAGGTTGAAGGGCTTTCTGTGAAATAAACTGTAGGTACTCACTAATCATATTAGAAAGTACGGAGGCGTATTGCTGCCACACCAGTAAAAGAAAAATGGATCACTATCACGTTATAACATGAAAAGTTTGTTTCATATTATAACAAGATATGAATGAATGGTCTTAGAAATTGGGCTGGATATAATGAAACAATTTTTAAAATGTGTCATTTGATAGCTGATCAAAATTGCTTTATGGTCACAAAATTAATTAATTAATTCAGTAATTAAATGAGAAAAAATCCCCTAAAATCCCAACCTCTTTCCTCATCAATTTAAGACCCTCCGTGGCCTCTTTTTAGCTCTCTTAAGACGCTCACAGATCCCCAGAGGAGCCGTGCATGTTGAGGTACTCTTGTGTCTGTTGCGTCATGATGAAATGGATACAGTATGACACATAGGTAATCAATGCATCCATCACTGTATGTCCATTAGTGTCTCAGTCCTCAGCATCTCTCCTGCTCACAGCAGACCGCTTTCTGATTGACTGATGAGGTGCACGGACAGTCTGGCAACATGAAAGATCACGTTTCGTCCCAGGAGAGGAGGAGGAGGGTGGCAGTAATGGTTTCCATGAATGCAGCTGTCGCCCACACGGTGCAATTAATAAAGACTCAGTGGACCTACGCTGGAGACTGATAGCAGATAAACAAAAACCTGGCCACATCAGGAAGCCCTCTGGGGAAATGTAGTCGATAGTGGGCAGTAAAGCTCAGGCAATAATTCAATATTATTGTTTATTGTCTTGCACTGGAATCATATTATGAGATGATCATGTTTCACTTTGCACAATACTTTTACCCAAATGAATGATTCCAAGCAATTTCTAATTAAAACTGATAAAATGAGTTGACTGTAATACATTCAAGTCAGACAGTATTTATCAGCCTGAACACCAGTTTATTTATTGTTAATTAGATTATTTCAACATAGATATGTTGAAATGTTAATTCTATATAGTTATTCTTAATGCCTACGCCGGGTGAGACTCGGTCTTAAAATCAATGAAACACACTACCATGTTTGTCCACAGGGGTCGAAAAGAGAGTTCCTTTTTGTTGCTTTAAGATTTATTTTCTGGGAAGCATGGCATGCATATCACCACATTTGCTTGATATCAACACTGATGCGTAGCCATGCCAACAGGATTGCAAACCAACTACAATTACATTGTTGTTACTACTCTTTATTGGTTCTGGCGCACGGCTTGACAACAGTGTTAGTCCTGCCAGTGATGCTGATTAGCTTAATACTTCTTAAACCCAGAAACCACTGCTTCATGTCCCAATGGTGGGGTGGGTGGATTCAAAGGTCTGGACCCAGGGAGGCACCACATTTCGTGGCAATCCACCCAATAACTGTTGAGATATTTCAGCCACTACTGGACAGACTGACATCTATAGAGCCATGCCGCGAGCATCCCTAAAAAACATAGAAAATGCATTTATGCCTTCCAGTAGTTTATGAATAAAGGGAGTGTCCACAGAGCGTGTGACAAACTACTTGATATCCCCCACAAACACACACCTAGAGGCTGGATGGGTGTTCACAGAGCGTGATGGACGTAACAGCAGGCTGAAGCTGACAGGCACAGACAGAGATGAGTGATGGCTGCAACAGAAAAGAGGCTGTCAGGAAGCTGAGCAGCAATATTAAAGACCCTTCACACACTCACACTCACACACATGCATTGGACACACACAGGTATAATGTTAACCACTGATATTCTCTTCACGTACACATACACAACAGATAAGCTGGCAGGGAGACAAAAAGGAAAAAGGGCAGAGCAAACAATATCCACAGTAAGGGAGGCAGATGCATCATGAGTGGGCAGTAATATAATGTTGCAGTGTCAGCAAGTGTAGTTCCTGTGTGGGACAACTGCATTACTACATTATTAACGACATTTACAACTCATGTAATGTCATTTTTTCTCTTTAAAAGTTTTCCCCTCGCTTGGGGATTTCAGTAACGATGCTGAACCAACAGAAGGGCTGGTTAGGACTTTCTCTCCCACACTGCACATGCTTGGCTTACAGTAATCTGTTTCTCCATCGATTTCAGCCTGATATACGACAAATCACAGAGACGTGCTTTGAGAAGGAAACTGATTGATATGGTTGAGGGAATAACCTGCGGGGACGACGTACAATCTGTGTCGGTTATCTAATGAGTAGTTAAAATTTTAACGACATGCCTTTAAAATTTCCAGCATTTGTTCTGGGCGCGGTTCAAGAGAACGTGTGCTGATTAATAATTCAGCAGCCAATATTGATCTGTCCCTCAGCTTCTCTGCAGTCAGGGCTGTACATCAACAGGGAGTGTCCTTTTCATATGGACAACACACACCCACATGTGTACGTGTGTGAGTAAAAAATCCGACATACAGTAAAATTACTGTAATGTTAGCTGCAGTGTGAAAGAGGAGAGTCTGGGGGGATGTTTGTAATGTCTTTGGGGTGGAGGACAAATACACTGTGTTACCAGTTCGTTAGGTACATCTATCCAATCTACTCCAGTACAGCAGCACTGCAGTAAAACCATCATTTAGATGCTTATAATGTTCAGTTTACGTTGTGCTTACGGTGCCGTTTTTGAGTTTGTAGTTGCTGTAGTGTTCTGTTGGATTGTATTATGTTAAAAGGTATAAAATTCTGTCCACACTGTTTACATACTGTACAGAACATGATGGTGAGTAAACTATAGATATATATTTGTCATTGTATCTAGGTGGCAACAACTTTTTACCTTTTACTACAGGCCGCTGTGAGGCTCTATATATGCTGTGCTTTCAGCTAAATGCTAAAGCAAATGCATTAATGCTCCCCCCCTATGACTCCCCCCCCCCCCCCCACTGACTCCCCCTCAATTAAAATTCAAAACCCTAATTTTTATGCGGGTATAATGTTAGATCATCCTTAATGTTAGCGTGTTAGCATGTTGAACATTAGCTGAGTTCTGCTAAACAACAAGCTGAAGCTGATGGTTGTTTCGTTTTAGGTATCATGACAAACTGAAGTTTGGTGTGATAAATCAGAGAGAAGGACACCCCAAATTAACAAAGTAAATCAGATCATCCCTGATCCACTCCTGAATCCATTCCAATATTGTTGAACCTTTCACGAAAAACCAGAAAAGGTCAATTTCATGGTACAAGAGTCAGGGGATAACTACTAAAGTCAGTGGTCCCATCGCTCTGGGACATCCACTGCAGTACATGTTGAGATATGTCCAGTCTGAACCAAAGTGTGGAAAATCTGAAGCATCACCCTGGTGCCAGTTTTTGGTAAAGTGATGTTTATGCTTGCATCAATCCTCAACTTGACTCATGACTCTTGCAAAGGGATGGTTCCTCTTGTCACTGAGTGCCCTTTACTATAAATGTGTGTGACATACTGTATTTACAATGTTTTGCCTTGACCCTTGAGTTACAATACCACACTTGTTCAGAAAATATATATAACAGCTAAAGGCCCCCTAAGTGCCCTGCCTTTTAGATGAACTGCTCCAGGTCACAGAGAATAGACAAATTAAAAAGCACCCTGTCACGTCGTTATACTCCGAAACACATTAGTCTACAAATACGAAAAACCAATGATGACCTTGAACCGGCTGCTTGTGTGTGTGGTTCTTCCCATGTGTGAGAGAACTGAGAGTGATGTAATGGAGGAGGGAGGAGAGAGGCTGGAAATATGCTGAGACCTTCAGGGAGAGAAAAACAGCACGCTGGAGAGAAGGGTCGGCAGGCCGGCATCCGAGCTGTACCGGCTAACAGCTTGTCTGACATTTAGAGGAGACTGCGGTCATCCTGAGATGATGCTGCATCATGCTGCCTCTAACAGAGTGATATAATGCACTGTGAGTTTTCACTAAGAGGCTTTTTACAGAGGCATTTCCTAAACCATAGCAACCGCCCAGCATCGCTGTTGCCCAAATTTACAATCAGAGGGGCCTCAAA